GAGGCATTCTGTTACATAAGAAAGGGAATAGTGGGTTTCAGGGCTGTATCCGCGCACGTTGTTGGCCCGTAGCAACTATAGTCAGTTAGAACATTCATAAGAGCCAAAACTCCGTGGTTCGATTATAAAGTTTAAAAGGTACCGTGGTGTAGTTGGGTTTCGAGTTCAAACAGTGCAGTTAAGCTGTTTCAGTTTGCTCTTTGACACCGCAATGCGCGATCCGAAGGTTATTACAGGGCTATGGGCAAAAGTCAGACCACGGAGGGAGTCGAACCCGGATCTAGCGCTTACCGGGCGGTTGCGTTATGTATTACGCTAATATTAATATTAATTAGTAATATTACGCTACCGGGGCCACTCTTACCCTTTCCCCTCTTTTGTGCAGTCAGGCTTTTTACCATTTCAGGCTACCGTCATGTGATACTACGATCTATTGGAAATCGGAATCTCGGCCCAATTTCGTTGTTTGTACATTTCGACATTTTCTACTATGTGAAAAAGACTCAGATCTGTGGGTACACTTTTACATTCGACTTACCGTAGAAGCCAAATTGCTAGCTCTGATCGATGGGGTCATTTAGCGTTACACAGTGGACTGATGGATCCATTCTCCAGCGAAAGAAAGGATGAGACACTGTCACAAGCTCTGCGATATCCCTTTATGAAACAGGACGACGTAGAGGAAGAAAACGTGAGTTTTAGTATTTTCAGCCATGAAAAGGTATGAAACAAGAAAGCATTCTTGCCAATAAAAGTTGACGTCTGCACAAAACGGATTATAGCTTATCAAAATAGGTCCTAACTGGCACGCTACGGAACGAGGGTACTTCGGCGCCACCATTACGGTCCTGATTCGATGTTTCAGGATGCCGTGATATTGTGTTTGTTAACTGGCTGTTAACGGCCGCAGTACGCGACTTCGAAGCTAGTCACAAGATATGCTGAAGTTCGATGGGCAAATGGTCGGACCACGGCCGGTGATTCCCGAACCCGCATCGTCTCGCGTGTTTCCGTGCGAATGCGTTCCCTATTACGCTACCGAGGCCACCTTTGACCACTCAGCTCAATGGCTATTTGTGCCATAACCTTACAGCACTCACACGTTCAACGTGATGAGCCGGTTAGCCGATATCGGCAGTGAACCGCAAGGCTGAAGGCTTTTTACAAGTTCAAAGATATTCTTGTGATAGCTTTCGAATCGCGTACTGCGGCGTTAAACAGCAGTTAACAAACAATATCAGCTTGAAACTTGTAAAAAAAAGCCTTCAGCCTTGCGGTTCACTGCCGATATCGGCTACCGGCTCATAACGCTTGAACGTGTGAGTGCTGAAGTAACGCATCTACCTGCGCACAAGAAATAGCCAGTCATTGAGCTGAGTGGTCAAAGGTGGCCTCGGTAGCGTAATAGGGAACGCATTCGCACGGAAAGCGGAAGATGCGGGTTCGAATCCCGCCCGTGGTCCGACTTTTGCCCATAACTCAGCATTCTTGTGATAGCTTTCGAATCGCGTACTGCGGCGTTAAACAGCAGTTAACAAACAATATCAGCTTGAAACTTGTAAAAAAGCCTTCCCCAGCCTTAGCGGTTACTGCCGTTGTGATATCGGCCTATGCCACAGCCACACGCTCATCACGTTGAACGTGTGAGTGCTGTAAGGTTATGGCACAAATAGCCATTGAGCTGAGTGGTCAAAGGTGGCCTCGGTAGCGTAATAGGGAACGCATTCGCACGGAAAGCGGAAGATGCGGGTTCGAATCCCGCCCGTGGTCCGACTTTTGCCCATAACTCAGCATTCTTGTGATAGTTCAAGATGAAGTTATCGGCAAGCAAATCGTTTGCAGACTGGAGGCGTAGTGATTGAGTAGACACAGCCCACTCTCCAGTTTCTCGCGGCGGCGCGATACGTTAACGCCTGAAGATGGCTAGGTAAGTAAACATTTTAAGACTCTATGTCTAGGAAACCAATAGATTCTAGTAGTAGGACCCATAGAATGACAACTTGGGCGACATTCCAGGAAATCGCCGTCTAGAAGTAGTTTGTGCCTTCTATACTTGGAGACGGAGCAAGACGCATGTAAGAACGCGGTGTGGCGAGGGGTGCTCTCTTAACCAAGCTGCGGTCGCAGGGGTTAATGTGTGCGGTTTTAGATTGAGTTAGTGGCGGCGGAGCTTCTCATCCCTATGGTCACTTGATTGCTACCAAGTCTGTCTGAGAAAATGGAAAACTGCACATGACACCCCCACAGAACTCCCGGAAAAGCCCGATTCTCCTTGAGAGAAAAGTTTTTGAGTGTTTTTTCGGGTGTACACGCCTCTTTTAACTTGTCTATATTAATTCTCCATTAATTTGAATGTATTTGTTTATATCCGATTCATAGCTGAAAAATGAAAAAAAATATCAAAAAACGAACAAAGAGGCGCGTAATACTCCCGGAAAAGCCCGATTCTCCTTGAGAGAAAAGTTTTTGAATGTTTTTTCGGGCGTACACGCCTCTTTCAACTTGTCTATATTAATTCTCTATTATTTGATTAATTGCTTATATCCGATTCTAGCTGAAAATGAAAAAATATCTCCCGGAAAAGCCCGATTCTCCTTGAGAGAAAAGTTTTTGAATGTTTTTTTCGGGCGTACACGCCTCTTTTAACTTGTCTATATTAATTCTCTATTATTTGATTAATTGTTTATATCCGATTCTAGCTGAAAAATGAAAAAAATATCAAAAAACGAGCAAATAGGCGCGTGTACTCCCGAGAGTACACGATTCGCCGAAAGCGGAGTTTTTTCGTGTACTCCCGGGAGTACACGCGAACGTGTTTAACACGTTGGCGACATTGCGTCCCACTGCTGGGACGCACCTTTTTTGCCGCGTGGGACATTGCGTCCCACTGCTGGGATGCGGCATGTGTAAAAGACCAATTTGAATACGTTTCAAATTTTTAACAGCTACATATTATAGAGGAAGGCATTGTATAATATGCAGTAGGTGTAAACAATGCAGTTGTGTCATTGAGAGTATTTTACCAAGGAGGCAAACGAAAGTGATTTCCTTAGGAAAAAAAAGCAATTTTGTATTTGTAGAACTGGAGCTCCACAAGCAGATAGCTATGGGATAAAGTAACTTCGACACTAGCAGATCTGGATCGAATCCGATTTACCACCTCTGCCGCGAAATTATTCCTTTTTTGCGACCCTATTTCCACGTCCCACGTGAATGAGGCGGGAGAATTCTATGGAAATTTCGGGTTTATCTTGGAAGTAATGGAAAGTAGCGAAGTTTTACTAGCTTCTGCAATGAATTCTTATCATTCTTCAATTGTTTTGGTGCATAAAAGCCCTAGCATTTATGCGCACTCGTCAAAAATAGGGAAAAACTGCTTTGTCCCACGCGGCAGACACGCGAAAAAGGGCGCTGTCGCCAATGTGTTAAATAGCTCCGTGAATCAGTCAGGGGCGGTGCGAGGAGGCGGGATGAGGCCGCTTCCTGCTGTCTTGCTCTGCAAATGGTGATCGGCTAGCGATCGATTCAGGATGAAAACAACCAGTGGTGGAAACCGAAGGTGGGGTTAGTACACCCCCTTGAAACCGACCCGACTGATCGCCACGATACAACAGCACCGTCCCACGCAGGGATGCCATACGTTGAGGATAACTAGCGATAGGAGTGGTGTTTGGTCACTGGAGGAATCGATTGCCGTATTTGCTTCTGAAGAAAATGTTTCTGACGGCTGACTTCTCTCAGTTGTTCTCGTTTCGTGTGCAGACGTGCGGTACATAGTACAACCAACATCCTATCCCTATGGCGTCTTTTTGGGAAAAACTGAGTTCTTGGACTCCAACTGGATGTAAGGGAAGGGGAGGGGGGAAGGAAGGGGTCGTTTAAAGAGGAAGGAACTTTTAAAGGAGTCGTTTTTTGCCGAATTTTCCGCCAACTGTTCTTCGCCAACACACGGACGTGCACGGGTGCGCAACAAATTGCTTTTTTTCCCAAGTTTCCGAAATGCCGAGAGTAGATTGAGAATCAAGATGAGCTGCTTTCAGGAAAATCGAAAAACTTCGTAAATATTTCAAATCATGATGGCTAATGGCTTGTCTATGGGAATCGCTTGCGAGCTACCGATCTAGTCGATTTTACCGCCTGCATTCGATTTATAAGGCACTTGAATCAGTCATTTATGTAACTTATTACGTTTTCTTGTACATAGATTTGTAGATAATGACCCCTTGTATGTACGTGTGGTACCTGATTCAGTGAAGAAATAGACGGAAGAGGGTGATTCATTGTATTTATATGGAAACAAACACTGAGTTTTGACTTTCCTACCTTGTTTTTTGTTCTCATGTCATCGTTACACGTAAAACTGGTATTCATGGTACTTGTCGATAAATGCGTTCAACTGAAAGTGAACAAGCAAGTATTATTTTTCATTAGACATTATAGTACACACGTTGCTAGGATGTTGAGTGGCAGTACGGAAATGAAATATCGTGGTGGTCTAACGTGGAGTTGCTTCAGTATATCGGAACATCTATCCAGAAAATACTATTTCGTGCATGCCATTCAGACACGGATCTTCCAGCTAACATGCCCAAGGTGTTAATGACTAGAGAACCCCATTGTCGACGCTTCTTATTCTTTAGCGTTTGTCTCGCTCGGTAGCGGAGTCCGGTCTTATGACAGGCGCCAAATCTATCGATTAAATGCTTGGTCGGGGTGGATTCCTACTATTTTGAAGTCCGTATGCAGCGCTTCGAGCCAACGCTGCTTGGGACGTCTCTTGGACCGCTCACAAAAATATCCCTCTTCCAAAGAGAATCGCATCGTTTTTCCTATTTTTATCTTATTACTGATTATATATGACATGAAAGAGGCGAAAAGAACATTGTTATGTATGTATATTTATTGCCTGCTCTGTGAAAGACAAACACATCAGCGGAAAGCACTAATTGCTGAAAGACTCGTATAAATACTGAATAACCTCATATGTACAAGCAGGAACCTTATTTCATGGCAGCATCTTCTGGGGTAACAACCTTCCCTGTCAGTCGATCAACAGTAGCCTTCACGACTTCTTCATCAGACGGCTGCTCATTCAGTCGCTCTGGCACTAAAGATCTTTCTGGCCTGCTCACCTCCGAATTCGACAAGCTGTCATCTGGGCAGCTCATATTCAGTGATGCCTTTCTCGGAATATTTGGAGTGTCGCATGTGAAAACTGCTCTTGGTGAGCGGACGTCTCCTGGTTTGACTGGTTCCCTCTTCTGAACATAGAATTTTGATCGGAATAGAAGGCTACTGCCAAAAGGTTCTCGAAATAATGAGAAAACGATCAAAATGAGAAGGCATAGGGAGAAGATGCTAACAGGATGGGAATAGTTCGTTTCACCTCTACCTACGCTAACTATTATATCTTGTCGATCCATGGAGCTTGCCAGCCAGGTGGGATTGACAAAATAATGGGACGAATAAAAGGTGTGATGAGAAAACGTATGAAAATTATTACCACTTGATAGATATAGGAACAAGTACAGAAAAAGTAATGAAATATTGTTGAGCATAGGTAAAAGGGTAATCCGAGGGTCAAATAAGAGAGAATGGAGCATGAAATACTCCATCCTCTTATTTTAGTCCTAGGAATGTAACTTCAAAAGCGGTTCCAGTGCGTGTTTCTTGGTACAGAAAGATCTTTTAGGCTTTTTCAGGCTTCACATAATTCAGTTAAAGACACATGGTACGCTCAGAACACATTACACATTGGTACGCTCAAACACATTGAGGGTGTATGAGACTATCAGCCCCCCAGCTGTCGATGTGTCGTGGTCCCCGCCCAAAACTGCACGGGGTCAGAGTACGGGGCCGTGGGAAAGTCGTAATTCCTTGCTACACCGCCCATTTCGCAAACTCACGTTTATGCTAACACCGTCCGCGCGGCGCGTGTCGCGTGCAGCTCTCTTGGCTTTTTGCCAAGTCCTGTAATTGCGCTTTGGAATACAAGTAAAACGCAATTCTTTATGCGGATAACATTTTAGGTGCTGCAAAATAAGGACCGAAGATGATGACGAGGGCTAGAACTCAAGAGCAACTGTGCTGCTTCTGCAATATCCCTCGGAGGCCGCGCATTCCCACAAAACATGAAAATAAAAACGGCCTAAGCGTCCCACTCGTTAGTTTAAAGTATTTCTATGGCTTTGGAGCCTGATTCGAGCCGGATCGCAGAAATGAACACGCGATTTCAGTTAACTTTGCGTTTCCTTAGTTTTTTTCCAATTTTGTTTTATTTAGCATCTTACATTCGGTTGCTCTTTTCCATTTCCGAGCCCCCCCGCCCGCTTCGTCCCCCCCCCACCCCCTTTCATCACCCTCTATTCGGACTTTGAAGCATGAGCAATACCTCAAATGTTAGGAAATTGCGTTTTGCTTGTATTGTCATGTTTTATTGTCATGTTGTCCGTTTTTATTGTCATGTTCTGTGGGAATGCGCGGCCTCTGAGGAATGTTGCAGGAACAGCACAGTTGCTCTTGAGTTCTGGCTCTCCGTTAATCAAATCTCGATCCTCATTTTGCCAGGCACCTAAAATGTTTATCGCGATAAAGGAATTTGCGTTTTAATTCGTATTCTAAAAGCGCAAATTAGCAGATTTGGACCGCTATCGATTAAATGCTTGGTCGGGGTGGATTCCTACTATTTTGAAGTCCGTATGCAGCGCTTCGAGCCAACGCTGCTTGGGACGTCTCTTGGACCGCTCACAAAAATATCCCCCTCTTCCAAAGAGAATCGCATCGTTTTTCCTATTTTTATCTTATTACTGATTATATATGACATGAAAGAGGCGAGAACGAACATTGTTATGTATTTATTCATTTTATTGGCCTGCTCTTGTGAAAGACAAACACATAGCGGAAAGCACTAATTGCCGAAAAGACTCGTATAAATGCCGAATAACTCATATGTACAAGCAGGAACCTTATTTCATGGCAGCATCTTCTGGGGTAACAACCTTCCCTGTCAGTCGATCAACAGTAGCCTTCACGACTTCTTCATCAGACGGCTGCTCATTCAGTCGCTCTGGCACTAAAGATCTTTCTGGCCTGCTCACCTCCGCATTCAAGAAGCTGTCATCTGGGCAGCTCATATTCAGTGATGCCTTCCTCGGAATATTAGGAGTGTCGCATGTGAAAACTGCTCTTGGTGAGCGGACGTCTCCTGGTTTGACTGGTTCCCTCTTCTGAACATAGAATTTTGATCGGAATAGAAGGCTACTGCCAAAAGGTTCTCGAAATAATGAGAAAACGATCAGAAATGAGAAGGCATAGGGAGAAGATGCTAACAGGATGGGAATAGTTCGTTTCACCTCTACCTACGCTAACTATTATATCTTGTCGATCCATGGAGCTTGCCAGCCAGGTGGGATTGACAAAATAATGGGACGAATAAAAGGTGTGATGAGAAAACAAATGAAAATTATTACTACTTGATAGATATAGGAACAAGTACAGAAAAAGTAATGAGATATGTTGAGCATAGGTAAAAGGGTAACCCGAGGGTAAATAAGAGAGAATGGGGCATGAAATACTCCATCCTCTTATTTTAGTCCTAGGAACGTAAAGCGGTTCCAGTGCGTGTTTCTTGTACAGAAAGATCTTTTAGGCTTTTTCAGGCTTCACATAATTCAGTTAAAGACACATGGTACGCTCAGACACATTACACATTCTACGCTCAACACATTGAGGGTGTATGAGACTATCAGCCCCCCAGCTGTCGATGTGTCGTGCTCCCGCCCAAAACTGCACGGGGTCAGAGTACGGGGCCGTGGGAAAGTCGTAATTCCTTGCTACACCGCCCATTTCGCAAACTCACGTTTATGCTAACACCGTCCGCGCGGCGCGTGTCGCGTGCAGCTCTCTTGGCTTTTTGCCAAGTCCTGTAATTGCGCTTTGGAATACAAGTAAAACGCAATTCTTTATGCGGATAACATTTTAGGTGCTGCAAAATAAGGACCGAAGATGATGACGAGGGCTAGAACTCAAGAGCAACTGTGCTGCTTCTGCAATATCCCTCGGAGGCCGCGCATTCCCACAAAACATGAAAATAAAAACGGCCTAAGCGTCCCACTCGTTAGTTTAAAGTATTTCTATGGCTTTGGAGCCTGATTCGAGCCGGATCGCAGAAATGAACACGCGATTTCAGTTAACTTTGCGTTTCCTTAGTTTTTTTCCAATTTTGTTTTATTTAGCATCTTACATTCGGTTGCTCTTTTCCATTTCCGAGCCCCCCCGCCCGCTTCGTCCCCCCCCCACCCCCTTTCATCACCCTCTATTCGGACTTTGAAGCATGAGCAATACCTCAAATGTTAGGAAATTGCGTTTTGCTTGTATTGTCATGTTTTATTGTCATGTTGTCCGTTTTTATTGTCATGTTCTGTGGGAATGCGCGGCCTCTGAGGAATGTTGCAGGAACAGCACAGTTGCTCTTGAGTTCTGGCTCTCCGTTAATCAAATCTCGATCCTCATTTTGCCAGGCACCTAAAATGTTTATCGCGATAAAGGAATTTGCGTTTTAATTCGTATTCTAAAAGCGCAAATTAGCAGATTTGGACCAAAAGCAAGAGAGCTTGCAACGCGGACACGCTTCCGGCGCGGACGGTGTGTAGAATAAACGTGAGCTTGCGAAATGGGCGGTGTGCAAGGAATTACGACTTTCCCACGGCCCGTACCTGACTCCGCGTGCAGTTTTGGGCGGGGGACCACGACACACATTCGACAGCTGTGAGTTGATAGTCCTCACACACCCTCAAATTATGTTCGAAGCGTACGACATGTGTCTTTGAACTAATTCTTTTGACTCTTTTAAAGTCATTGTGTGTGTTATCATTTAGGCAACCTATAAATTGTTCTTATAAACAGCATCTTCGAAGAACGGCCTTTATTTTCAAGGTGTTGGCCGCGTATAACGCAGGGCACATATTCTCATGCAAAATACTTGCTATCTCAATGGAGAAATGTCATAAACTTCAGGTTCTATAACACCCGTTTCATCGTAAAGCGTAGTGTTGATTGTTCTGCCATAAATAGACTCGTATACCTGACTGCCTATGCTTTATGCAGGAAAAGCAACCTCAACTTTCCGCCTACCCAAGAATAGCAAGGCACATGCAGAGTGGCAAAGTGGCATCTAGAAGTTAACGGAGCTACCGTACGAAGCCACTTCAAATGAGCGAAATCGTCATAGCGTCAGTAATGGATTCTTTTGCACTCGACAGATCTTAGCTAGAAAGATGTTAAGAGTTTTCACTTCGCAGTTTTTTTCAAGGAGGTTGGACTGACAACCAGAGACTCCACCTCATGTCGTGATATTGTAATATCTCCATGGACAAACCCTAATCTTGCCATCTCGCCCTGGGCAGTGAGTCTGGAAGCACTCTTCACGTTCAGTACGCTCACTAGGAGCTCCAGAAACCGCTATGGCTCGAGGTCAGCAACTACTCTGAGCGTTCCCCAATCGAGCAGCAGTTCTACAGTTGCCATCTGCGACGACTCGCTATTCTTATGTTGTATGGGCAAATTACTCAACTACTATGGAGCCTTTGTCGAACAAATGCGCCAGATTCGCGCGCCATTGGACAAGCTACTCAAAAAGGATGTACCGTTCAATTGGTCACCAGAATGCCAACAAGCCTTCGATCGTGCCAAAGAAGTCCTGTCGTCAGACCTACTGCTCACTCATTACGACCCTTCTAAGGAAATAATCGTCGCGGCCGATGCTTCCGAATATGGGATAGGAGCAGTAATATCACATCGTTTCTCGAATGGAACGGAGAAGCCAATCTACCATGCTTGCCGCACCCTCACAGCTGCAGAAAAGAACTATGGACAAGTGGAAAAAGAAGGACTCGCCCTTGTATTCGCAGTCCGAAAATTCCATCGTTACCTCCACGGACGCCCTTTCAAACTTTTGACGGATCACAAGCCACTCCTTACAATATGTGGTAAGTAAAAAGGCATTCCCTGTGCCTATACACCAGCAAATGACTCCAAAGGTTGGTCACTCATAACCTGGCTCAGACTACAATCTTCAAACGAATTGAACACACCGGACCACCAGCAACTTCGGAACAAGCCGACGACTAATCCCGGCTCATTGCCGAACAGCCAACTCCGATGGAGGATACAGTCATCGCCGAAATCAACCTGGATGCTGCAAATCTGTTCTCGCAGACATCTACAAAACTCCCAGCAACAGCAGAAACTATCGCTGAAGAAACGCTCAAGGATTCACAATTGAGAGAAGTTCTTCAATGCGTTCAAACTGGAAAATGGCCGAAGAAACCAAAGAATCACTTAATTCGTTTCAACTCGATGCGCAACAGTCTCACGACTCACAGAGGATGCTTACTATTCGGAGATCGCGTCATCATCCCTAGTAGTCTACAAGCCGCTGTTCTCTCAGACTTACATAATGGTCATCCTGGGATTTCAAGGATGAAAATGCTGGCTAGAGACTATTGCTACTGGACACACATCGACAAGGATATCGAAGACACAGAGTGAACTCTTGTATCCGTTGCCAGCAAATGGCCAAGAACCCCATTAAGACTACCCTTTCCTCGTGGCCTACAGAGGAGAAGCCATGGAACCGCGTTCATGCAGACTTTGCAGGACCAATTGATGGCAGAATGTTCCTTGTACTCGTGGACGCCTACTCGAAGTGGCCAGAGATTACTGAAATGTCATCCACAACAACTCGCTCTACAATCAAGGAACTCCAACGGTTATTCTCACAGTTCGGCTACCCGGAAGTTTTCGTCACTGACAACGGAACATCATTCACGTCAAAAGAATTCAAGGAATTCTGTTCACAGAATGGAATCAAACATGTTCGCTCACCACCATTTCACCCACAATCCAATGGCCAAGCAGAACGCTTCGTGGATACATTTAAGCGGAACCTTCAGAAACTCAAAGGGGAAGGAACGACACAAGAAGCTTTACAAGTTTTCCTATTCAACTACCGCAGAACGCCATGTCCAACTTTGCACGGATTGTCACCAGCCGAAGTGTTTCTCGGAAGACGTTTACGCTCTACGCTCACATTGCTGAAACCATCGGAATCAATCTCAGAACCGAGAAGAAACCAAAAGATGGAAACTCAATTCAACCTTCATCACGGAGCGAAAGCCAAGAAGGTTCAAGCCTGGTGATTATGTCTGGATTCGCGACTACCGTGCTGGATACCCAAGATGGACACAAGGCCAAGTGAAACTTCACATGGACAGTGTCTATATGATGTTCAAGTCGACGACCAACTCTGGAGAAGACACGCCAATCAACTGCGGCCCAGTACCTGCCCAGCAAATACGACATCGCTTACGGATGCATTCGATTTGCCGCTGCTTCCACGTCTGGACGCTAAGGAACCCATACGAGAAGACCATACTGTGCCGAACAAGGACCATGTGCCGATTCAAGATGCCGATCTGCCCGCTCCAACCGATCGACAGAAACGGTCAAGACGTCCGCCAGTTCGATTGCAAATCAATCCGAAGAAGAAGACATACACATCTAATGTTTGTCTTAGGAGGGAGGTGTTGTGAGGGTGATACTAGATCACTGGTATCCCTGATCAACATCCTATACTGGCCGTATATAAGACCAGTCATTGAGTATGGTTCATTCTGTTATTGCTCATCGTGCTCAGAATAAACTCCTTCATCCTCGTCGTACGCGTTCTGCATACAACTACAAGGATTACAACAGTGTAACCGTTAACCTGTTTCGAAAAACGCGTCAGGGATCACATCAGCGTATCTGCCACAAACAGCCGGTAGTGAGATGCGGTTCATGACTTCAAGGCGGCAATATTTGCTGCTTGGGACCCTATGCACGGGTTAACCATGAGAAGCGTCTTCATGACGGCGATACAGAAGGCGCCGAACGAATTAGTGCCATAGACAGGAAGGTCAACCGGAGAATACGAGGATTCCAGGACTACGCTTAATAGCTTGGAGGTATAGAGAAGGTGCCTCAAAAGGCAGAGGAAGTCTTTTAGACCTATGAGAATGGCGCTTCAACAGGCCTTGATACAATCCTTCGACTGCATGATTTTTCTGCAAGCTCCGTCTTGCGAGCTTTCATGGGCCTGCTAATGCTTCCACACAACGTTCTTAGTGTCAGTTCCCAAGTGTGTGACGCCCACTGCCGTCAACAGAGCACGGATCTTCTTGGCCTGCTTCCAATTCCAGGTCTCAGTAGGAACATTCGGGAGTGGGATAACTCTTGGGGACTTTTTAATGAAATTGTTCGCACTCAAGACTTGAACGAACTTCTCAAGTTTTACTATCTCTCTGAATGGCAAGAAGAAAGCTCTCGAACGCTTCAGAAAGGTCCAAGTGGCACCAGACAGCTATACCGTATGGTTTCTCCAGCACGAGCAAGGCGAAGCGGAAGAACTGGTATTTCATTGAGAAGCTTGTACACTGCTCACTCAGACCACAGCAAATCAGACGCTCCAGATATTCCGAGAAAACGCAGAGCTGACGAAGTTTTCTACAAGGTTGTTTACCTTTCTCTGCATGCACTGTCAAGCATCACAAGGACATTGGGTGCGACAGGTAGAGAGCACTTCAGGAAAGATCGAAATACTTCTCGCGACAAGGGACTATGCCTTATTTGGCTTCGCGAGAAAACTCTACGACGCAGTGTAAGAAACAGAAATGTTTCAGATGTCAGAAGCCGCACCACCCTTCTGTTTTTCAGCCGGCGGGCTCCAAACAAGCAAGCGTGAGCGAGAAGAAAGGCAGCAGGGGAATTTCTCAGTCACGTTCAACGACCGAGACTCGGAAACTAAGCAAGCCCAAAAGTAAATTTTATCGAGCAACACGGGCTCAACGAGGTTCTGGTACTTCAGTCTTTGAAGGACACGAGGGACTCTTCGAAAGCACTTACTTTCAACAGAAAAAGTAACAATGCTCGATCCAAATAGTAGAAGTTAGTGTAAAGGTATCACCATACTCGTGCTAGTGTGTGTGACACGTCTATAGTATCGCGAGATTTAATGGATCCCGTAAGACAGCAAATTTCTAGTAATGTTCTGCTGCTTGGCGGTTAGGTTTTGATAGTACTACGAGCGTAGCCCAAGAAGCTTCTCAAGTGAGTAAAAAAAACGCAAAAATTATAATCTTCATGGTGGGACTGGTAGGTGAGCATGGGTTACTAATTTCGGTGTTCGGTCTGGAATCTTCTACAAGAACCCTCAAAAAGACGGTATCTCAGACAATTGACTCAGGATGGGCTCTGAAACTTACTCTGGTCTCTGGAATAATCAGTATGAGTAGCACTGGGAGGAAGAGTAGGCCATGCAGCATCGAAAACGAAATAACCAGAAAAACTGTTTTGAAGAAGATCAGCACAATATAGGAGTCCACCAGCGTGAGAACCATTATTCCCAAGATCGTCGACGAAGCACCCTAAATCAGTCACTGCGAAAGATGTGTTGTATAGCATGCTGGAGAGAAAAAGCAAATAAAGTAGATAGTACAATAAGATACCATTCTCTATGTTTACAATGCAAATTGCTCTGCTTCTACAGAGTTTCACAGAGTTCCCCATGTTCACGATACTGTATGCTGTGTCATTTGTGAAGGGTTTCAAATATTTACAACCTCTGTTCTTTACACTAATTCAGGACTTGCTTAAAAGCAAAATCTTGGAGTCAAATAGTCGAGCATTGTGAGCGAACACCTCTCAACCCAAGACTTTTGGACTTTTGCGCCGACTCGTAGACATCGGATACAAATGCGGATGAGCGCTAGGTACAGAAAATCAAGTGGAGAAAAGTAAGCTCACCAAAAATACAGGCCATCCAAGAGTTTCCAATGCATAAACTGCGCGCTCGTGAGCTGTTCCGTATGCTTGTGAATAAGCGTAGGCGATGTGAGCGGATAAATCAACTGCAAATCCGATGCACATAATTACCTGAATTCAAGTGAGTAACCGATCAAAAATGTCGGTTTTTAGGAGCAGGAAGGCAGTACTGTGGAGCGAGTTTGTACAAGAAAAGTGTTGAAAAATTTGCCTCATACAAGAGCTATAAAACCAAAAAAAAACTTGGAACAAGCCAAACATTCAGATTTTTAACGTATCTCAACAGCAGCAGCATCAACCAGATATCAGGACTTATGATATTTTTCGTCATTGAACTTTGCCAATTAATTGCTCCTCCCAGGTTCAAAGGCGAACAGTACTTTAAGACTGTCGGGACGTCCATGACAGTCCATGACGGGACGTCCATGACATCACTTCTCACAACGGAGCTTCTGAGAAACTCTGATCCCGCTTTGGTGCGGTTACTCCACCTGTGCGCAGGTGATCGGTGAACACAGGTCTACTCTCTAGTTGTCTCAGTAGCCCGGCTCTACAACTAGTTGGTGGACTGCGGTTTTGACGGGACAATACCCCCAAAGTTTGATTGGGCTCATCTACTCCTCTTAGATCAATGGGTGGTGAAGTTCAGTGCATGATGAACAACTTCTTTGTTTTCTTGAGCGAACAGGGATATTTGAGTGAAGTCAGTCAGTGAGCTAACAGTGCAAACAGCGATGGCAGCAGTTCCGCTACCTTTTGCATCTTTTCACTACTGCGTTCGTCGGATAAATCCGAAAAAAGGCATGACCACTCAACGTTCGTCACTGAGCTTTGGATTTCTATTCGGATTCACAGCGGTAAATGACTATGTACTTGGACCACCACAGCCGTTGTGAAATCTTCTTAACCGGGTCTAGGCAAATGAGCTAGTCACCAAGAGGGGTTCAAGGCCTGGCTGGTGTGAGCAAGAGCGAGTTTCAAGACGAGACGTCATCCCTCGTTATGGGGTCGCAGCGAGCAACCTATCAGTACTCCGCCTGCGGCCATTAACACTTGTCATGAGAACAGGAGTTCAGGACAAACATATCAAATCCACGTAATATCGTTCTACGAGACGATACGGCCAGGAATTCCAGGCATATCAGGCCCAGAATACACTCGAATACCGCTTCGGCTTTAGGATTTAGCAAAAATGCAACGCAGTAGTCCTTCCAGAGAGGTCAACTAACGCAGAGAAAAGTATCACTTTCTCCTTTTGTTATCCACTACGTAAGCTTGAGTAACCCACCGTAATCATAGATACACTGTCGAGATTGACGCCCCAATATGCCATGAATCCCATCACTCCTAAAAATATTTCTCGTCATTTCAAATCTTCACTTGACTATATGTAGAATGAGAACTAAGAGCTGACCTGTGTTTACGCTCGCAATGCATAGAACCACCGCCGTCGCTGCTCTGGCGTCAGGTATCATTATAACTGTGACAGCAAGCATCGCCAGTAGACCAAATGTGAAATTTTGAACGAGTGATGGCTTCAGTTCGAGGTACTGAAATCACGATCATTAGGTTGTCCGGAAATTAAAGGCACGTTCCGCGATAAGTTGATGCTATAACCTCCATAAATGCGTTAGACGATCCGGTAGGCGATTGTAGAGGCTGCACTACATTTGAAACTTGGAAAATGGCACGCAAAGCACCGGAAACTTCGATTTTAGGCCCAAGGAGGCCCATGCCGGCCTACATTGCCCGTGTCGTCGTACTAATGCCGTTGTGCTCTCTCGCCCGTCAATTTCTGGTCTCTCTCCGCGCTTTGCAGTGTATCGTCACCTTCTGCATATCACTGTTGATCTTGACCATCTTAGTCTCGTCCAATGATCATGATCAAATGCAAGAAAGAGGGTCATATTGAGGGCGGCTTTTCATATTTTTTTCTTCCTTACTTGGACAACTAGCTCAGTGCTTTTTGAACTCTGTTACCTACGACGTGCCGTCGCGGGAAGTGCTCTCAATGCTGGTTTGGGTTTCTGCATTCGATTCGAGGTCAAAAAGGCGAATAAACGTTGTTTCGTCGTACATTTTTGAAAAGTTTATTTCAAACACAAATGAACACTCATTCTGTATGTGAGATAAAGATTAACTAGCACAAGTGAGACATTGTCAGGTTAGAAAGATTGGCAGCAGTAGAGCAATTTCGACAGATCCACTTCGTTGAATTCAAACCCGGCCGAAGTGGAACCCAAAAGGCTCGAAGTATTAACGATGGACAAGGAAATGCTGGTGAGTGCACTGTTCACGGCTGGTTTCAGATTTTTCGTCGTGGCGGAAGAACTCGAAAGTAAGAAAGGTTCCAGACCTCGTTCACCTGCCCTAGGCGAATGTTTTAGTGTTAAAGATTGACGAATGAACAACTGTTACAAGGATATCTTGATTCTCACTGAGAACAAAATTGAACAGCTCCGAAGCCTGTCAAAAAAAATGCCGACAATTGAAACAGCTCAAAGCCAGTGTTGGTGATGCAGGCGACGAAAATGTGATTCCATTGTGACACATCTGTGAAGTAAATCTCAGTGATGGACTGTGAAGAAGCGTTACCGCACTTTATCCGGCCGAGCATAGTGCCAACAGAAAGCTTGGTGCTCCCATGACCTATGATCCTACCATATGTAATCGATTATGTTCGTGAGTGTGCGTGTGTGTGTCTGCCTGTTTCTCATAAAATTCATAGCACCTAAAGAAAGACTCTGAGGAGGTCGGCGTCTGATGGCAGCTTGCGGTAAGGCATGGACAATATTAGCGCTTCTAGATAGCACTCTGCAACCCCATGGTAGCCTCGCCAGCAGTGTCGAAGCGTGCCCGAAAGTTACGATGTCACTGAAAAACCCATAGTATGGCTAGAAAGCAGCTCCGCGAGAACGGAAAAAAACTGAATAAGACTGGCAATCGGTCTGGCAGGTGCAAGCGGAGGACCAGCAGCCTGAAATGGGCGGGGGTACTTGAAGTTGCACCGTGGCTTATACACAGAACGTTCGGTAACTCGGGTTCCCGAAAAAGCCCTTAGAGTATTAAGCGAGTTTCATGGGCGAAGATGAAATACTGGCAAGAGTCCGCCATGTTCTATGAGGGCGCTGAGGCACCTCCACAAACATAGGGCGGGGCTACTGTAAACACGAGGTACAATCTCAACCTAGTTCGTGACCAGTGCGCGTTTGTTCGAAAGGTCGTTGACCAGAGCATTTTGCGAGCACTCAGCAAGTGTCCGCCACCAGTGGTGGACACGGTCCCTCGTGATCCCTCGTTACCCCTTACTGAAAATTTTACACTGTTCAACATTCTGCTCCCGAACATCTCCTTTTTTTCGGACTTCGAGTGCAGGGGCTATTTGCTCAGGTCCGAAAATGGCATCCTCTGTGCTCCTGCGGGCCTTTGTGCGCCAGTGTGCGCTTTAGTTGCTATGGGTTTTCCCCTTCGAAAACCCCGCTGTAAGTGGCGTAGTTGAGGTGATTTGACATAGTGAGCTGGCTCAAAACCTCCTGGTGGCAAGGAGGTTTTGAGCCGAGCGGAAGTGGTACTCGTGTTCAAAAGGTCAAACCAACTCAGGAAACGACTGCTAAGCCAAGTCTGTCCACATAGAAAGAAAGTTGGTCGAAAGTTGGCTTGGTTCCGGATGTCTGAGGCAGTAAAGGGTTGACAGTGCCTATAGTTTTCCGGCGCTATTCGGCGCTAGGATCCACCTGCACTCGCCGTCGCCTTTTTTCGCTAAAGTCGCAGCTGTTCTGCATTCGAGCTCAATTGGGGGGGGGAAGCCCGATCACAAATAAGACATTGGTTTTTATCTTTGCAGAGCGCTACATGGCATGAGCGCCATGTAGCGCTCTGAAAAGGCTGTAGCTTGAAGAAGGAGTGATTCCCTCCTCCTAAGGCAAGCTCAGCCTCAGCATCGCATTGATAACCCTTGTGCCCTACGCTAACGTTCCTGCTAAAAATGAATATCATATCAATAGCGAATAACCCAAGTATCCAAGTTTCCATCAATTTGGATGGAAGAGGTGATAGCACGAAATTGGTGCCTGTTGGCGCCAGCCGGACTGAGAGCGTCAACGTATCAACGACCAGACCATCAAAAAGCCCTAGTATGTAACTTTCCCTGAAGTTTGGTGAAAAAAGGTAGTGGTGAGTTGGCGCGGCACCATTCTGGCGCCCCGGTTTTGATGAAAAAAGTGGTGGCGCCAAATTGGCGCCTAATGGTGCCAAATGGCGTCAAACACCGCCGGCGCCAGAAACGGACGTCACATTCGTGATCGGGGCACTGAGTAACCCCTACCGGCAATTTTTCAGCAGAAATTTTTCTAGAGGTTTTGGGCTCAGGTGCTGCTAGTTGAATCGTGCCTGGGACCCTTATATCTGAAGATCTCGTTGGTCCACTATTTGCATAAATTAACAAAGGTATGAAGACTTGTACCACTGGGAAAAGTTCCTCGAAGAACTCGAACTGTTTCTAAAAATTTCATCAAAAGCCCGTCCGCCACATATGGTGGACATGGTCCGAAGTGGACATTTCGGTGTCCACCACCAGTGGCGGACATTGTCACGAATGGGTTAAAAAAATCGTAGTTTGGTTCTAGAGCACTACAGACGGCGCAAAAAAGTGGATTATGGTCTCCAAGTGATCACATGTTGAAATGTGCGAGGCACTCCCGTTGTGGGCGGAGCGTGCGCCGGGGTGGGCGGAGCCAAATTAAAAAAATCGTAAAATGGTCCCAGAACACTCCAGACACCGGAAAAAGTAGTTTAAGATCACCGAGGGGTCACCGGTTCACAAGTGTGAGGCACACCCGTTGTGGGCGGAGCGTGCAGCGAGGTAAGTGGAACCAAATCAAAACGGTTCAGAACACTCCAGACAGCGAGAAAAAGTATTAGGTCATCCCATTCAAAAGTGCCGAAGATCTTATTCATATAAAACGAAGAGAAAAACAGATAGAAAAGTAATATTTTGGCTTTGAGTTAAGTAGATCCCTCCTTCACCAATGACCCGCTCCCAGGGCCCCGAAAGCGTTTGGACCTCTGGTACCTTCGGTTTTTCAACAAGTGCGAGTAAATTGCTGTTGCTGCCAATTTCGGCGAATGACAAAACATTGTAGCGTTTGCCGTCGGAGAGTACCCTCGACTGACCAGAACAGTTGGAA